CGTGGGTACACTGAAAAGTATTCTTCACACGCCCCGGTCGTGATTGCCTTATCGGCTCCTCGTCGTCTTAAGCCTCATCTGTGTGTGCGCGGGAAACGAACGCGTCCTCTTCGACTCTCTTCTGAGTGGCGGGCTTCCCCCTGCCCACCACTCGAGTCCTGTCACGGTGGAATCGTCCGGGCATACGCCCGTCTTCTCCCCCCGGTGCGGCGGCTGCGGATGGCGTCTTGACTGGTCGCCTCCCTTCCCCTCTCCGCTTCTTCCTTGGTAGTTATTACGGCCTCACAGAATAGTTGGACGGCCCTCCACGCTCCATCCGATCCGACCATTGCTCTTACTGTGGCCGGCAGGGAAAGATCGTCACCCACTGCGGCCACAAGGTCCCTTCGATGTTCCGTCCACGCCGGGCACTCCGCCAGCGTGTGCTGGGCAGTGTCCTCGGGGCAATCGTCACAGTGGTGGCACACTGCAGACGGCTCCCTCCCAATCCGGCGCAGGTAACTGCCGAAACAACCATGTCCCGACAGCACCTGCGCCAAACGGAAGGTCACCGTCCCGTGTCTCCTCCTCAACCACGCCATGAACACTGGACAGATTGCCCCGATTGTCCTGGCGCCAGCCCGCGTCTGGCGGAGGCGACGTTGCCATTTGGCCACCGCTGCATCTCGCCTCTCTTTCCGATACGCTTCGACCTCGACCCTTAAGGGTGGAGCTCCGTCAGTTGTGATTTTGTGTTCGCGCCAGGAATGAACTGCCGCAAGCACCTCCGCTTCTAACACCCATGGCAGGGACCCCGCCAGGGTGCAAGCCGCGTCGTAGGATATTGTGCGGTAACCTCGTATGATTCTAATAGCCATGCTCCTCTGTGGCCGGTGAAGGATGTCGATCGTCCGGTTGTTCAGGGCGCCGCTCCATACGGGTGCGCCGTACAGCGCCATCGATTTAACGACGCCCGTGAACAACCGTCGACAGGTCGCTTTGGGGCCGCCAACATTTGGCAGTAAACTGCCGAGTGCGGCGGCCGTGCGCAACAGCTTGGGCCCCAACTGGCGGAAGTGGCCCTCAAAGGTCCACCTACCGTCCAGCGTGAGGCCCAAGTACTTCATGTGCGTCTCGATACAGATGTTAACTCCGCCAACAATGATGTGGGCTCCCGGAGGAGGCCTGCTCCGAGGTCCATGGAAATAAAGGGCCTCGGATTTATGCAGGGCCACCTCGAGACCCAGCGCTCTAATTCTTCCCACAACTTGGGCTACTCCGGCCGTAGCGAGTCTCGCACACTCACGGTACGTACTCCCCCTCGCCGTTACCAGAGTGTCATCTGCGTAACACGTTACGTCCACACCTAGTATGTTGGCGCCCCGCAGCACCCAGTCGTAGCCCACGTTCCATAGAAGTGGGCCGAGGACTGAGCCCTGCGGAACGCCACAGGTCACCTCGTGGCGACACCATTCGTCTCGATTTCTGTAAGTGACCGATCTATCAGACAGATAGTCGGCCACTATCCGGCGTAGGTACTCAGGCACTCTATGGTAGCGGAGGGCCTCATTGATGCAGCTCCAGGGCAAGGTGTTAAAAGCGTTTGCGATGTCCAAGGACACCGCAAGAACGACATCGCCCTGGGCAACTGCTTCCTCCGCGATCTTCTTGACCCGCATTATGGCATGAACTGTGGACCTGCCCGGCCTGAAACCAAATTGCTTGGCATCCAGGTCCGGGCCGATCGTCGCCATGTGTTGGATAAGTCTGTTAGCGATGATCCGCTCGAATAGTTTTGCTACCTCATCTAGTAGAATTATAGGCCGATATGCAGCAGGGGAGTCGGCTGGCCTGCCCTCTTTTTTAAGGAGGACCAGGGTGCCGTTCTTCCACAACCGCGGGAAACGTCCTTGTGCAAGACAGTCACTTAACAGCTCCACAACTCTCTCCTCATAAATGTCCGCGGCTAGCACCCAAGCACGGCCCGGTATGCCATCAGGCCCCGGGGCCGTCCTTTTGGCGCGTAGCCGGTGAATTCCGGCCCCAAACTCGCCAGGGGTGACTGGCGGAATGACCTCCTCCCCAACGGAGCCAGGATTTTCATTCCTGATGTTCGGAATCCTGTACGGCGGTATGTGTGCCACTCCGCCGGGAAAGAGGGATGTCACCACTTCCTGCACCAGTTGGGGCCGGAGACTTTGCGTCAGAGGTGATGTCCGCGTCCGGAGTTTCCCTCGGACCATGAGATAGGGGCGACCCCAAGGATCTAAGTTTAGGGTCTCCACCATCTCCTCCCTCGCTCTATCTTTGGCATCTCGTATTGCTCTGCTGAGCTCGTGTCTTGCAGTCTTGTACGCGTTCAGCAGACTTGCCTCGGTGGTTGCGTTCCTTTGTCGTTTCCGTCGTTGTCGTTGGTACTGGCGTCTGGCAGATACGCACGCAACGCGCAATACTGCTATATCTGCAGACCACCAGTACACATGTCTCTTCCTTGGTGGGGGGCCTTGCCGCGGCATCGAGACATCGCATACGCGAGTCATCGACGCACGCAGCTCGGCAGCCCTTTCGTCGATGTCGGGTGAACTAACCGCAGGCGACCATGTTTCGACCTGGGCAGCTTCTATGTGTAAGTCCGGGTTGAGTCGCTTCACCACCCATCGTGGGGTGTCCCGGTGAAGCGACTCCGGTCCCTGGTGGGCTGGGACCGTTGATGTCGTCGATATTGCGAAACGGATGTATCGGTGGTCGGATAGTGTCTCCACACCTTCCACTACCTCCCAACCGTACACCCGTCTCGCAGTCGCAGGGCAGGCGAACGATATGTCCACGATGGAACAGCCCTGCGGCCGAACGCATGTGGGTCTCGATCCCCTGTTTAGGAGACAGAGTCCCATGGTTAAGGCCCACTCCTCTAGCACTGCACCCCGAGCGTTCGTAGTTGTTTCTCCCCACGCAGAGTTTTTGGCGTTAAAATCCCCCATTACCAGCACAGGATGGGGGTAATTTCTGCCGACGAGGATTCCGACGCGGTCGAGAAGACCCTCGAACTCTGCGAGGGTTTTGCTGGGGGCGCAGTACACGCCGATAACCATGGTTCCTCCTACAATGGCTCCCACGTACCAGCGGCCCTTCTGGACCCCTTCGATAGATGGGGATCCCGTGGACCGGGGCACGATGAGCGCTACAACATCTTCCTCATCCCCCACCCAATCGTCCCTGTTGGGAACAAAGTAGGGTTCGGACACTACTGCTACCTGCGTCATCCACTCAGCCATGCTCTGAAGGAGCAGGTCTTGAGCCCGGGCGCAGTGATTAACATTGGCTTGAAGTAGACGTAGAGCCATTTCTGATGTTACTGATGTTAACCTCGTCCGTCTCCATTGAAACTTCTGCTGGCGCCTGTTGTGCTGGTTGTGGCGCAGCTGTTCTCTTCCCTCTGGTGATTTTGGGGGCTGGCGCAGAACATCCTCTTCCACCCAGTTTGTGATCCGCCGGTTTTTGGGCCGCCGCACAGATGGAGCAGTGCGGTTTGGCCGAGCAACCCTTGAACTTGTGGCCCTCTACCCCACAGCGGAAGCACAATTTGCTCCTGTCCGCCTCGGCGTTGCATTGCGCCCTAACGTGCCCCTTTTGGAGGCATCGATAGCAGCGCAATGGCCGGGGCTCCATCAGCATGACGCTGGTCGACACCCATGATATTGTCAGCCTTTGCGCTGCAGCCACTCGTCTAGCAACTGGTACTGTGCATTCTACCCATGCATGTCCAATACCAAATCTGTCCCTAACAACACCACTGCTCTTGAGGCTGTCTTTTGAGCAGCCTCCTGCTTCGGCGACCGCAGCCAATACTTCATCGATGGTCGATGAGTCGTCCAATCCAGAGATTTTAATCTCCGTCGTTTTCGTCGGCCTGGAGATGCGGACCAGGTTTCCGTCGAAAACTTGCATCAGCCTTTCTGCTAAGGCGTCGGCTTGTGTACCGTTGTCCGTGCCCAGGACCTCGAATCGTCGTGCTCCTGTGGCACACACCCGGAAGCGCACCCCGGTTGTTATCCCCACCTCTTGCAGTTTTATTTTTGCTTTGGCCTCCGCTATGACTGCGTCATATGTGAGGCCGTTAGCAATGGCCTCCGGCGTGATAGTAACCACCACTGCAGCCGTCTTTGGTGGACCATCGGATGGGGCTCTTGGCGCTTTTCCTCGCTCGCTGTTTGTAATCACCAGTGGACGATCCTTCCTCTTCTTTTGTTTTTGCCCTTTCTTTACCACCGTACTCCATGGCAACTCTTTGGGCTGATGGTCCGCAGACTCTGCCACCGCCATTGGCTGGGGTTGGGCCTGGGGCTCCGTCGGTGTCTTCTCCTTAGCGGGCTTACCCGCCGCTTTGCTCAGGGCTTTGCCCGAAGTTTTGCCCGGCGTCTTTCTCGGCGCTTTCGAGACCTCCTGTTCTCCACGGCTCGCGGTCTCAGATCTAATGTCCGCCGCCAGCGGGGGACGGAGACGCTTTTCCGGGAGGAGGCGATCTTGTAGCGCCTCAAATCTTGCGTTGATCATTGTGCCCACCTGACACAATATAGTGCGCACCAGATCCTCGCTGTCCTGCTGTTTCTGTCGCTGTGGTTCTGGCTGCTTAACCGCAACGTCAGCCTCTGTCCTCCGGTTCGGTGTGTTGAGGTGCTCCCTCATTTCCGCCACCTCCTTTCGTAGCTGCGCTACTTCCGCTCGCAGGCGAGCGTTATCTGCCTGCAGGCCTTTGGTCTCATCCGATATGCATCTGCTTTGCAGAGCTTTGGTCATTTTAGTGATCTCCTCCGCTGCGTCCTTCAGTGCTCGAACGTATCCCCCTTTCAGGTTTTTGGAGGTGGTGGCCACTTTCCTGATCACCTCCACGTTCTCCTCGATCATTTGGCTGAGGGAGCCGGCCGCCTGAAACTCCTCATCCTCAGAGACAGACTCCGACAGCCTGTGGGCTTGTGCTCTAATCCGGGCAACGCGAGAGGCAGCTACTACCTCTGCCTCCGCTCTCCTCCGCTCCTCTTCTCGTTCCGCCTCGATGAGGGCCAGTTTGGCCTTGGCCAGACCGACATAGTGGCCCGTGGTGGGCGGTCGTCCTCTCCTCTTCCTTGGCAATGGGCTGGCTCTACGACTGCTCTCGGACACTGATGTTGAGTCCTCGCTTAGCATCAACTCCGTGTCCAGCTCCATTTCCTCTTCCATTCCACTCCCCGTCACTTCCACATCGCGTGCATCTGTGTCCGTATTCAAAGCCAAAGTCGTCGTGCAGTCAAAGCAGTTTTTGCCCCCCCCAGAGTACGAGGGGCAGCCCGAGGCCAAAGTGGCCTCGGGGAGGGATTCTCCACCAGCAGAGCTGGTGGTACCCTCCTGGGGTAAATTCGTCTTAAAACTTGCCATCATGCTGGGTTGGTCCGGTGTTGTCGGACACCGGAAACCGCCTTTTCGAAGCAGGGTGAGGTCCCCGACCAATATGCGCAA